TTGAATAGCAAACACTTTTTTATCTTTCTTCACATCACTATTTTCTCTGTTCCAGATGACAATACAAACCCCCTCTGCCTTCTTTGTGTGTGTGTGTATGTGTGTATGTGTTGTATGGGTGTGTGTGTTTTGTGTGTGTGTGTGTGTTTGGGGTAGGTGTAGGGGGATAAATCCTGCATGCAGAGTGATGCATGTGAATAAATCGCTGAGGTTGGAGATTTGAGGAAGTTATCACCATCTTCTTTTGGTCAGTTTAGATACTCCATTAAATTTTTAAAACTATTAACAATAAACTTTTTGTATCAGTTAGAAGAGTGCTTTGTACTGCAAGTAACAGAATATTTAATTTACAGTGTTTTTAAAAAAATTTTTATTTTATTTTATTTTTTTATTGTTCAAATACATTTGTCTCCACTTTCCCTCCACCACTTTCCCCTGCTCCCCACCCCCACCTCCCTCCCTCATTCCTTCCCCACTTTGGCTTTGTCCATGAGTCCTTGCTATATGTTCCTTGACTTGCCCCTTCCCTTCCTTTTCCCCTGCCCACCCCTCCCTCCTTCCCTCTTGATTCTGTTGGTTTCTTTTTTCTTTCAATGTTACTGGTCATATTTTCCTTGCTTCTTTGTTTTGTTGGTTAGGTTCCACTTATAGGTGAGATCATATGGTATTTGTCTTTTGCTCTCTGGCTTATTTCACTTAGCGTAATGCTCTCTAGTTCCATCCATGGTGTCGTGAAGAGCAGCAGCTCTTTCTTTCTTTCTGCTGCATAGTATTCCATTGTGTAAATGTACCAAAGTTTTTTGATCCACTCATTTACTGATGGGCACTTACGTTGCTTCCAGCACTTGGCTATTGTAAATTGTGCTGCTATGAACATTGGGGTGCATAGGTTCTTTTGAATTGTTGTTTTGGGATTTTTAGGGTATAATCCTAGCAGTGGAATTGCTGGGTCAAAAGGCAGTTCCATTTTTAGCTTTTTGAGGAAATTTCAAACTGTTTTCTATGGTGGCTGTACCAATCTGCATCCTCACCAACAGTGTACTAGAGTTCCCTTTTCTCCACAGCCTTGCCAGCACCCATTGTTTATTGATCTGTTTATGATGGCCATTCTGACCATGTGAAGTGGTATCTCATTGTGGTTTTAATTTGCATTTCTCTGATGGAGAATGATGCTGAGTATCCTTTCATATATCTCTGGGCCCTGTGTATGTCCTTGGAGAAGTGTCTGCCCAGGCCCTCTGCCCATTTTTTAATTAGATTATTTGTCTTCCTGGAGTGGAGTCGTGTGAGTTCTTTATATATTTTGGAGATCAAACCCCTATCTGATGTATGATTGGCAAATATATTTTCCCATATTGTTGGTTCCCTTTTAATTTTGCTAATGTTTTCTTTAGCCATGCAGAAGCTTCTTATTTTGACAAAGTCCCACTTGTTTATTCTTTACTTTATGTCCCTTGCTTTAGGATACATATCCGTGAAAATACTGCTGTGTGGGATATCTGAGAGTTTCCTGCCTATGTTCTCCTCCAGGACTTTTATGGTGTTGTGACTTATATTTAAGTCTTTCACTTATCTTGAGGTTATTTTTATGTATGGTGTCAGTTGGTGATCAAATTTTGTTTTTTTGCATGTAGCTGTCCAGCTCTCCCAACACCATTTGTTGAAGATGCTATTTTTACTCCAATTTATGCTTCTGCTCCATTTGTCAAATATTAATTGACCAGAGACATGGGTTTATTTCTGGGCTATGTATTCTGTTCCACTGATCTATGTGTCTGTTTTTGTGCCAGTACCAGATTGTTTTGATTATGGTGACCTTGTAATATAGTTTGATGCCAGGTATTGTGATCTCTTCTGCTTTGTTTTTCTTTCTCAAAATTGCTGCAGCTATGCAGGGTTGTTTATGGTTCCATATAAATTTTTGAAATGTCTGTTCTATGTCTGTGAAATACATCATTGGTATTTTAATAGGATTGTGTTGAATCTATAAATTGCTTTGGGTAGTATGGACCTTTTGAAGATGTTAATTCTTCCAGTCTATGAACATGGTATATGGTTCCATTTATTTGTGTCTTCCTTAATTTCTTTCTTCAGTGTTGTATAGTTTTCTGCATACATGTCTTTTACTTCCTTGGTTAAATTTATTCCTAGGTACTTTATTTATCTTGTTGCTATAGCAAATGGGATTTTTTTCTTGATTTCTGCTTCTGATATTCATTGTTGGTGTACAAAAATGCCTTCAATTTCTGAATATTGACCTTGTATCCTGCTGTTTTGCCAAATTCACTTATTAGGTCGAGTAGTTTACTGGTGAAGGCTATAGTGTTTTCTATGTACACTGTCATGTCATCTGCAAACAATGATAGTTTTGCTTCTCCTTTCCAATTTGAATGCCTTTTATTTCTTTTTCTTATTTGACCACTGTGGCTAGGACTTCCAATGCTATGTTGAATAGAAGTGGTAAAAGCAGACATCCTTATCTTGTTTCCGATCTTAGTAGGAAAGCTTTTAGTTTTTGCCCATTGAGTATGATGTTGGATATAAGTTTTTCATATATGGCCTTTATTATGTTGAGATATGCTTTCTTTATTCCCATTTTGCTGAGAGTTTTTTTTATCATAAATGGGTGTTGTATCTTATTAAATGCTTTTTCCACATCCATTGAGATGATCATGTGGTTTTTGTCTTTCATTTTGTTTATGTGATGTATTATGTTTATTGAGTTGCAAATATTGTACCATCCTTGCATGCCTGGGATGAATCCCACTTGATCATGGTGGATGATCCTTTTAATATATTGCTGGATGTGGTTTGCCAATATTTTGTTGAGGATATTAGCGTCTATGTTCATAAGTGATACTGACCTATAGTTTTCTTTCTGTGTTGTGTCTTTATCTGCTTTTAGGATTAGAATGATGCTGGCCTCATAAAAAGAGTTTGGGAGTTTTCCCTCATCTTGGATTTTTTGGAATAGTCTGAGAAAGACAGGGGTCAGCTCTTCCTTAAATGTTTTGTAAAATTCTCCTGTGAAGCCGTCTGGTCCAGGGCTTTTGTGTGCCGGGAGTTTTTTGATTACTGCTTCAATTTCCCCAGCTGTTATCGGTCTGTTCAGGCTTTCTGCTTATTCTTCTTTCAGTGTCGGAAGATTATACTTTTCTAGAAATTTGTCTATTTCATCGAGGTTTTCAAATATCTTGGCATATAATTAATTGTTCATAGTAATTTCCTACAACCCTTTGTATTTCTGTGGTGTCAGTTGTTATTTCTCCTCCTTCATTTCTGATATTATTTTTTTGGGTCCTTTCCCTTTTTTTCTTGATGTGTCTGCTTAAAGGCTTGTCAGTTTTATTTATCTTTTCAAAGAGCCAGCTTCTGGATTGGTTGATCCTCTGAATTGTTCTTTTTGTCTCTATGTCATTCAGTTCCGCTCTCATCTTGACTATTTCCTTCCTTCTACTTGCTCTGGGATTTATTTGTTGTTGTTTTTCCAGTTCTTGAAGTTGTAGGGTTAGGTCTTTTATTTGAAATGTTTCTTTTTTAGGTAGGCCTGTGTTGCTCTGAACTTCCCTCTCAGGACTGCCTTTGCTGTGTCCCATAGGTTTTGGACTGTTGTGTGTTCATTTTCATTTGTTTCCAGAAACTTTTCGATTTCTTCTTTGATCTCATTATTGACCCACTATTGTTTAATAGTGTTCTATTCAGTCTCCATGAATCTGAAAGTTTTTGAGGTTTTTCTTTGAGTTTGGTTTCCAGTTTCAAGCTCTCGTGGTCCAAGAAAATGCTAGTTATTATTTCAATTTTCCTGAATTTGTTGAGGCTTGTTTTGTGTCCTCTCCTGTGGTCTGTCTTTGAAAATGTTCCATGTGCATTTGAAAAGAATGTGTATTTTGCTTCTTTGGGATGAAAGTTTCTATATATGTCAGTTAAGTCCATTTGATCTAATGCATCATTCAGTTCCACAATATCCTTGTTGTTTGGAAGATCTATCCATTTTTGACAGTGGGGTGTTAAAATCCCCTACTATCAGTGTGCTGCTGTCTGTATCTTTCTTGAAGTCCTCCAAGATTTTCCTTATATCTTTGGGTGCACTTATGTTGGGTGCATATAAGTTTACAATGTTTATGTCTTCTTGATGGATTCTTCCTTTGAGTATTATAAAGTGTCCCTCTGGATATCTTTTTATGGCCTTTGTTTTGAAGTCTATTTTGTCTGATATAAGTATTGCTACCCCTGCTTTTTTTTTCCTGTCCATTTGCTTGGAATATTTTTTTCCATCCCTTTACTTTCAGTCTGTGTAAGTCCTTTGTTCTGAGATGGGTCTCTTAAGGCAGCATATGTGTGGGTCATGTTTTCTTATCCATTCACGTATCCTGTGTCTTTTGATTGGGACATTTAGTCCATTTACACTTATAGTTATTATTGATAGGTACTTATTCATTTTTTCCCTTTGTACCTGTGTTCTTCTCTTTCTCACTCTTTTTTTTTCATCTTCTTAAACCGGTTCCTTTAGCCTATCTTGTAGTGCTGGTTTGGTGGAGATATATTCTTTTAGCCTTCTTTTGTCTGGGAAACTCCTTGTTTCACCTTCCATTTTAATCGAGAGCCTTGCTGGGTAGAGCTGTCTTGGTTGTAGGCCTTTGCTTTTCATTCCTTGTAATATTTCTTGCCATTCCCTTCTGGCTTGTAGTGTTTCTGTTGAGAAGTCAGCTGCTAGCCATATCGGGGCTCCCTTGTATGTTACTACCTGTTTCTCCCTTGCTCCTTTAGGATCCTTTCTTTGTCTTTGATATTTGCCATTTTAATGATGATGTGTCTTGGAGTGGGCCTCATTGGGTTCCTCTTGAATGGGGCCCTCTCTGCTTCCTGGACTGGTGAGACATTATCTCTCCTCCAATTAGGGAAGTTTTCCATCATGACTTTTTCAAACAGCTTCTCTATCCCTTCCTCATCCTCTTCTCTTTCTGATATCCCTATTATATGGATATTATTACATTTCAGGGAAAAATATGGAACATTTCATAAATTTGCATGTAATCCTTTCACAGGGGCCATGCTAATCTTCTCTGCAATGTTCCAATTTTAGTGTATGTGCTGCCAAAGCGAGTGCTACAGTATCTTAAAAAATAATGACACTGATATCTTTTGCTCCACATTATGTGTTGAACTAATGTCTAATGTAAGACTGTGTTTTATTTACTAATATATCCCCAAAGTTTAGAACACCTGGTAGCAGCAAGTGTCCAGTAAATATTTGTCCAAGTGTTTGAACAAATGAATGTCTATGCAATTCTCCTGGTTTTTCCCTCACAAGCACAAGGTGGCTGCAGCTCCTCTCTAAGCATCATGTTCTCATGTGGCAATGCCCAGAACAAGAATAAAGATACTGGAGGATCAAATACTTTATCCATATGTACCTTTCTTAGCAGGAAAGAAAATCTTTCCAAGAAGACCTCAGCTGACTTCTTTTGTTTCATTACTCGGAAGTAGAGTACAAGTCCATTGTGAGACCAATCACTGTAAGAGAGATACAAGAGTGTCATAAGTGACTTAAGCCAATCTTGGTTCATCTGATGAGGCTGAGCACTCTGTAGCCAAGACAAAATTAGTAGCAAGAAAGGAGAGAATGTCTGCTGGGTTGCTAACTAACAGTGTCTGCCACACTCTTTCCAATATCCCCAAACCCAATTTTTGTGTTTGCTCCATTTGCTCCCTTGCAGCACACTTTGGTCATTGGAATATAATAATTGACCATGTCCTCATTTTAAAGAGTGTTTCTTTGGATAGAAGGAGGCAGAATATCTGGCCTGCGTATTATTTAAATGAAGAAAAAGCCCAGCCATTCAGATTCTCATCATCTTTGGAAGTGGACTATAGCCAGGGCCTCCAGGTGGGCCTCACTGCCTCCCGACTTTCTGCTCTCATCCATGTGCCTCACAGCCAACAGAGTGATTTTTTAAAATCTCGGACACAATAGCTTTATTCTTTTGCTTAAAAATTTTAGGAGATTCCCATCACTTCTCATATGTCAACTCCTCAGCATCACAAACAATGGCCTTCATGGTCTTGCCTCATTCTGTCTCCCATGCTCAGCTCTGTTTTCTCATGCACTCCAGCTTCACTTAATCACCAGAGATACTCTAATGACTCCATGCCTTGTGAAATGACATTTCATCTTTCTGGATCATCTTCCTCATTTTGTCTGCCTAAATATACCAGTTTTATATTGGGGAAGAGGGAAGTGGAGAATGGCAGAGAGAGGGAAAGAATGGAGAAAAGGTTGGAGGAGACGAAAGGGCAGAAAGAGAAAAATGAATAGTTGTGTATTGACTGTGTTTTGGCTCTTTGTTGGTATTGTATTTAATCCCAAGAACGATAAACACATAAACATTTTGATCCACCTTTTATGGGGGAAGAAACAGAGGCTGAGTAAAAGGTTAAGTCATTTACCCAAGTTCACTGAGCTTCCTAGCAGTTGAGATGGAATTTAGACTGATGCTCCTGTCACTCCAATGACCTGCTAATTGCCATACCTGTACTACTCATTGTCGGACCAAATATTCCCAACTAACCTGGTGATACTTGAGAGTCTGGCTGAAGATGCTTGCATTTGATGAAATTAAAAAGATATAAAAATCCTCCTGTTGTTTGGCTTAGGAGTGAAATTCATGAAGCTGGAAGTTAACTCCAAGAGATGGTTTCTATAGTGGCCAAAAGTGATTGTGGCACAGCGTGACTTCACTTTGTCACTGCAAGAAAAAGTCTAAATGTCCTCAATTCCATGCATTCTAAAGGCCCTGAATACATCTTTCTAAAGCAAAGTACTCCCCCGCTAATCTCTAATAACCTTTTTCTGAAGAGAGGCCTTTTACTAATGCCAGTGGTTTTTCACTGTGAGTTCCTAAGAGGACTAAGCATTGGGATGCTCATTGCTGTCCATGAGAAATTATACATGTTTATTCCTCTTGTCTAGAAAGAGTACCTTGCACCCTCAGAATGTAAAGCTAAATGTTCCAGATGGATGAGAGCTCCTGGGGTTCTGCCCATGCTGGCAGACAGTTTATTCCTTTCTTGTGCACTTTCTTTCTTTTCAGTGCCTCCTGATGTCTCTGTGTCTACAAAACTCTTTTAAGTTATTACCTGTTCCAGCTAAGACTAATCTCTGTGTCTGAAAGCCTTGGATCAGTTTCAGTCCAATGATGCTAGGATTTTTTTTCTGTGGTGCTCAGGTTATAATATGAGCCTACATTAAAAGGGAATGAGTTGGCCCATTATGAATGTATTACTAGAATGTCAGTTCAGCGGAATCTACTCAAGTGTCTCACAGAACAAAGGACTGTGAACACAGGCTTCTCAATCTGCATGATGTATAACCTTAGTCTAGTCCTGAGGGAGGGCAGCCAGAATTAAACTCTGAATCATAGCTCAATATACTAGAAAGTACATTTGTCTTTTATTTGCACTTGGTAAATAGAATTAATTTAGTCTAAAGTATTTCCAAGTTGAGAGTCACCTAAATGTATTTTTATATGCAGAAGCTATGCATTACTGTTTGTTAGGATCATTAATTTATACTTAAAATAACACCACAAATTCTTAAAATATAGGCAGTTATCTTAGGTAAGTTATTAATCTTGAATACAATATGAATTGAACAAAATCAGAAACTTGTACAAATGTAAATCATAATTCCACCAGGCTAAACTGCTAGCAAATGGGAGAAAGGAAAGTGAGTCGACCTCGACAGGTGACAGTAATAGCTACTACTTATCGTGTGCTAGTACTGTACCAACAGCAGAATCTTAAGAAGCAGTACTTAGAATCCTAACTTTTCAGGTAAGTTACAGTGTATGCAGAGTTTAAATGAGTGGTCCAAAGCCACACAGCTAGTAAATAACAGAACCCGGGCCTTAACTGAGATGGGCTTGGTTGCAGACACTTTATTCCTAATGCCTACTTCACAATGCTATCATTTTACGAATGAGAGAGATTTTACAGTTGATCTAGTCCAGTGTTTCTCAAACTCAAATGAGGAACTTTTTGTGCTGATTCCTGTTAAGAAAAATAACTCATGCCCTGACTAGTGTGGGTCAGATGGTTGGGTGACATACTGCAAAGAGAAAGTTCGCTGGTTGGAGTCCTGGTCAGGGCATGTTCCTGGGTTGTGGGTTTGGTCCCATTTTGGTTGCATGCAAGAAGGGAGTTATTAGATGTTTCTCTCTGAGACTGGTGTTTCTCTCCCTCTCTTCCTCCTTCCCTTCCCCTCTCTCTAGAGAATAAATAAATATATTTAAAAATAACTCACATGGATTCATGGTGCTGAGAAATTATTTTTATCATAAGAAGCTTAAATATGTACAAAATATGTTCTTTTATGCCCATATTTCTTATATAACCATAAAGTCAAACAATATTTCAAATTAAATACCAAGAAAATTACAAAATAAATTTAAATTAGTTACATTAGCATGACAGAAGATGCTGTTTTCCTGAAATTAAATTGCTCTAATTAGCTCAAAACATATTAAAGTTATATACTAATATCTACTGTAGAAAATCAGAATCTGCAGCAATGAGTTATTCATATAAAATGTTAATAATTTCAAGGCAGTGAGAAATGCTTAAATGCCAATTTTAATGGAGTCATTTAAAGCTCTGTAAGTAATCTTACTTACTTGAAGATAAGATTAGCATTCTACCTTTTGAGAAATCTACATTAAATAGTACCTAAATGAATTATCGCTGAAATGTGAAACTAAACATTTCTCATCATGTGTTAATTGCCTTACAAAACTGTTCTTGAGCTACTGCAAACTGGTGCTGATGGTACAAGAAAAGAAGATTCACTGGGTTCAGCAAGTCTAAACTACTGCTATGCCACACGATGGTTCAATGTTCTCTTTTCAGTTTTGTGTACTAGTTAAGGATAGTGTTAGCTGTTACAACAGGTAAGTCCTAAATTTTCAGCGGCTGACACAATGAAGGTTCACGTCTCACTCATGCCACACGCTGGTCCGGCAGCCTTCTATTCTGTCTTTCAGGGACCAAGCCTCCTTTCATTTTGTGGCCCTACCTGCTTTTCATCCTCAGTGGTTTTTCTGCTTAGCTGGCAGATTGGGAAAGAGAAGAAGGACTATATATGCTGGCGGAAGTGGGTGCTTACATGGACCAGACCTAGAAGTGCCACACATAACTTCTGCCCATATACTATTGGCCATAACTCAGTCACTGGCATACCCAAATGCGAGAGGCCACTGCATGTAGTCCAGCTTTGTGCTTAATAAGGAAACAATAAATATATAGCAGGATATTCCTCATTATGAAAAACTTATTTTTGTAGTGAACCAGAAGTTTTTACATAAAACCAGATTATGAAAATAAATACCAGAATGTATTTATGTAATGAATATAATAATGTAGCAGTGACTGGGGTTTAAGTGGCCATCCTGATGATCTACATATAATTACACTAATGTTTTAAAGTATCCCTGAAATGAAAACATTAAATGTCAAAATCATCTTTGAAAACTCAAAGACCTCTGAGAAAACATGTGCAGTCCTGGAGGCCCATAAGCCCTAGTTTTAGGATCCATCACCCAAAACAAAATCTCCATCCTCATCAGGCTTGAGTGCTCTCCCATGCTTGTTCATTCACTATAATTATTCCTATCCTTGAGCACTTTTATTTTTGAAGTTTACCTGCCTAGAATGCTCTATTCCTTTCTTTTCAGAAATTCATCTAACTCCCACTGACCACATGGCTACTGGCCTCATGCTCTATGAAGTTTCCCCAGCCCTACTGTCTTCTGATCTCTGATTTTTCAGAATTCTTACCTTAGATGGAATGAAAGAAAATTCATATTATTTAGTTTATGCATACCTGACCTGTCTCCTCAAGTGATTTCCCAACCAGAGACTGGAGGAATTTTTCACTCCACAAAAAAGTTAGAAAAATAAGGATAAGAATGCTGGGTTTTTATAAAAAAAGGTTTAATTAATTCTAACTGCAAAATTTTTTTAATGAGAGTATGTCTTTTTAAAAATATTAAAATGATTTTCCTTTTATGAAATGATAATCTGAGATATACAGAACAATTTCTCTCTCTCTCA